CCGGAGTCGGTGGCTGGGGTAAAGAGTCGCTCCAGAGGAATCTTCTCCCTGCTAGAATCTTCTTCCTGAAACAAACATTTAATATCAGGAATTTTTATAGAATTGATCAAAGTTTCAAGAATTTTTTTAATTATCGATTTATAAATGAAGCCTGTGAAGCTTTTTAGCTTATATGGGCATTCGCATGAAGCATTTTGTATTTTTTTTCTCCAAATTTTTGTCATTTTCTTGTTATGAAATTTTTTTGTATGCTCCTGTGTGAATAAAGAAAGAATAAATATTTTTTCTAGAGTTCTAAGACCTGAGATCGAAGTGAATAAATCGCGAAAATTATAATGGACCAACCACTCAATAGTGACTAAATTTTGTGTATACATCAAAAAACAATACTAAAATTTACATCAAAAAATAACTTAAAATTAAAATAAAAAATTTTTTGGTTTCATATATGGTAATACTATATATGCACCGAGAAGGCGCTGCATAAATACGAATACATATTTTTTTAAATAGTTGGAAAATAAAATATCTTGAAATAATTCTACTCGATAACAATTAATAATGAGGTGAGAATATTGAAACATGAAACCGTAGTAGGTACGAGAATTTTGATTAATAACATTAACTATTAGAATAAATATTTCAAGCTAGAACGTCCAATTTCAGAGATAATTGTAAATTTTATTAATATAATGTATATTCTATGACTGTAATGTATATTCAATTAATGTGATGTATATTCTATGAATTTAATGTATAATCAATTAATGTGATGTACATTCTATGAATGTAATGTATATACATTTAATGTGAAATATATTCTATGAATGTAATGTATACGGTATTCAATCAATGTGATGTATGTTCCATGAATGTTATTTATATTCTATGAATGTAATGAACAATCAATCAATGTGACGTATATTCTATGAATGTAATTAAAATTCTATGACTGTAATGTATATTCAATTAATTTTATATATATTATATGACTTTAATGTATATTCAATTATAGAATTTATATTCTATGGATGTAATGTATATTCAATTAATGTGTTATATATTCTATTAATGTGACGTATATTCTATTAATGTGACGTATATTCAATTAATGTGATGTATATTCTATTAATGTGACGTATATTCAATTAATGTAATGTATATTCAATTAATGTGTTATATATTCTATTAATGGGAAGACACTAAATGTTGCCAGTAAAGACTGCACGGAAGCTGGTCTAAGTCGCCCAAAATAACAACAGAATGCGTCGCTATGTGGCGCACTGCCAGACAAAGCTATACAAAATGACAGCAGCTAAAGAAATACAAAAAGTATTATGTAAAACAAATGAAGAATTGTCTGAAATACCCATACAGGAGCTGTCAGGACTGATGACGTAAGTAAGTGCTTTGTAGATGCCAAAAAAAAAAAACATTGGGTTTAATGAATCGCATTTCATTTCAAATTGGGCGTACGAGTTAATTTTTACTATTACTATTACTTTACTTACTTTACTATTTTTACTATTACTAACCTATTTTATTGCACGTATTTCTACCGGGAGCCTTTTTTTCTAGCAACTCATTCTCAATAAAATGTGGTTCCCCAGGGTTCCCCTGGAAATATCTGTTAAAAATAAGGTCCCCAGTGAAAATATTCTAATGGGAACCTTATTTCTAACAATTATTTCCAGGGGAATGTAGGGGAACCTATTTTATTGCACGTATTTCTACCGGAAGCCTTTTTTCTAACAAATAATTCTCAATAAAATATGTTTCCCCTCGGTTCCCCTGGAAATAACTGTCAGAAATAAGGTTCCCAGATATGACATAAAACATCAAATTAAATGAATCGCATTTCATTCCAAATTGGGCGTTAGGAATTATTTTTGCCATCATCGAGTTTCTAGTTGCGAGTTACGAGAATTTATTTCAGCAAGGTGGTCGAGTGGCTGAGATCACCAATACTGGAGCAGAGAGTTGCATGTTCGAACCTCAGCGGTGCTGCGAAGATTGTGATCGAAATCGGCGCAGTGACTTGATTAAGTGCAGCAGGATTAGAGCAGCGAGTTGTGGGTTTGAAAAAGAGTAAGCTGTGCAAATTCTGTGACGTCGAGAACAAATTATGGCTCAAAAACGGCCTAATACTTAACGCTAACTCCACAATATTGGTATATACCACATAATTAATTGAGAAAACTTCAAAAAACATTATAAATGACATGCGCTCATATATGTAGAAAATAAAACACGTGATATTTCTGTAAAAATATGTAAACCTAAGTAGGAACGAGATATAGAATTGTCTTTGATCACAAGAAAAAAACTTTGAATAATATAAAATTCAAGTGACATGAGTACAGCTTAGCTTGTCGCTTACTAACGGTGGATTGAACGGCATAAATGCTCAAAATTCAGGATCCTGATGTTATTTCGGTCTTTAGATACTTTAACTGAAATTCCATGTGTTGCGAAAGGATTTATTTTTTTAGACCTAAATTGTGGGAAGCATTTAAAGTATTTACACATTAAATTAACACGTCGAATGCGATTGAGTGCATTCAATATATGCAATTGTAAAAATTTCATGATAGAAATTTTGGAAAATGGTGATTGAACTTATTTTATGGGGGCGATACGACTCACCGGTGGGTAGTATTGTACTCAACGTGTTAAATATACTACACTACATTAAATACAGCTTTTCCTTCAATAATATATACATCATAATTGACATTAGCTTAGCTTATTTGCAATTAAATTCGGTACTTTTGTACCAGAACATTTTTGATCCTTTATGGAAAGTTGACGAAATTAAATATCCTCTGAAATCACGAGGAATCCTAAAAAAATTATCAAGTTTCTTCAATAACATCGCTTAAAATCAGTCCATAAAATCCTAAAACCTAATTCATGCAATCAATCGCAGTAAACGCAATCAAAAAATAAGATCGCGATTGGCTAAGCGATTTTTTAAAATCTGGCGAGTATTATGAGTTTATAATCCGGTGAGTATTATGAGTTTATAATCCGGTGAGTATTATGAGTTTATAATCCGTTTTTACCAATGATGATGATTATCAGTTATTATTATCATTTATTTAGTTATATATTATTACACAGCTTGTTACGTTCACAAACAACTGTGAAGTGATCCTGAATACTTCAACTCCACTTAGACTTAGACTTGGCGTTAACTTAACTATATTAAGTTTGCCAAATTACGAAATTTTGTTTTCTTTGTTTATGTTCTTCTAATTCACAGTTAGTTAATTAACACGCCACTTTTCACTGCGCACTCGAAGCGTATTTCAATGTACACAATAAAATTCACATTTGTTTAACCGTGAAAATTTTTCATTCAGTATGTACCTTTATTTCGAAGTCGGAGAATTAGAGGATTATTGGAGGAGTATTAGTGGAGAATTGGAGGAGTATTTGTGGGGTATCGGAGGAGTACAAGTCGAAATATTATAGTATGACGATAGGAGTATTAGAGAAGTATTGTAGGAGTATTAGAGGAGTATTGGCAAAGTATTAGAGGAGTATTAATAGATAATTGAGAAGTGCAAGTCGGAGTATTTGAAAACTAGAGGAGAATTGGAGGAGTACTAGTCGGAGTATTAGAGGAGTCTTAGAGTAGTATTGGTTGAGTATTCATGGAGAATTAGAGGAGTATTAGAGGACTAGAGGAGTATCCCTAGAACCATCAGAGAAGTATTCTGATACCAAGTATTTGCACACCCTCAGTTCCCGACGTGGTCACGTCTCGTGGTCGCGCCGAGCTACTGACTGCGCTTGGCACCGGCAGCGGCGAGCGATAGCTGCAAGCCTCGCGAGACAAAACTGTGCGATGGTCTCTTTGGCGAGGAGAATGTCTCGCGAGATCCAGTCATTATCAGCGCCGTTACAGCTCTTACTGTGCGATGGTCTCTTTGGCGAGTAGAATGTCTCGCGAGATTCAGTCATTATCAGCGTCGTTATAGCTCTTTTTCCGCGATACTTAGCATTTTTATTGAGGTTTTTGCACTCTATGACTTACGGAAATACAAATTGTTCTGTTGCAAGTGCCGAAGAGTAACTTAATAAATTTTTTTTGCACTAATTGGCATTATCAGCGCCGTTACAGCTCTTTTTCCGCGATACTTAACATATTCTTGAGGTTTTTGCACTCTATGACTTACGGAAATACAAATTGTTCTGTAGCAAGTGCCGAAAATTATTTTAATTAATGTTTTTGCATTAACCGGCATCACTTGCAGCCGTTACTGTTCTTTTTCCGCGATACTAAACATTTTTTCGAGGTTTTTGCACTCTATGACTTACGGATACGCAAATTGTTCTGTAGCAAGTGCCAAAGATTAATTTAATTGTGTTTTCATGCTCTGTTACTTGAATAAATGCGAATGATAATTACTCTGCTGTACCAACATGAAATTCAGTTTGCGTGATTTGGGTGTTTGCCGCAACGCTAGCTGTCTTTACTGCTTCTTACAGCGATACTCAACATATTGTTTGAGGCTTAAACACTCTAAGACACACGTAAATTCCTATTTGTATCCAATAAAAATAAACAACAAACTCCAGTTGCAACGTTAGAAATTTGAAAAAAAGTTATTGTAAGAAGATGCAATCATTATAAGAAAATGCAATGTCAGTTTTTTGGTGAATGGTGAATAGTTATGAGGAAAGTTTAGCAACAGAATTTCAGGAACTTTTGGCGCAATAAAAAGTTGATATTTTTATTGAAATCTGTAAACTTTATTTTTTATCTATTTAGTATTTCTAGGGGGAAAAGGGTTAGAAGCAGCATTCAGACTAGTCTTCTGTTTGAATACATACAGGGATTCTAAAATTAGTAGAACCGGTTGTAAAAGCTAGAACTTTAAAATCACTATCAGATACAAAGGTGTTGCACTGCTCGGCATGAACACGTACAGCGGAATGAGGGGGATGTGCAAGTATGTTCCCCGTTCTATAACTACTCCCTTTGTGCTCTGCCAGCCTAGTATAGAAATTGCGAAACGTCATACCGACGTACGCTGCGCAGATGCGCACTGCGCAC